CGCGCCCGGGAACACGACCGCGCTCGGCTCCTCCGTGAGGACGGCACAGGGACACAGAGCTCCGCAGCTTCCTCGTCCGAGGTAGCGAGTCACCGTCGCGTCCGAGTGGTCCGAGGCGCCGTCTCCGCTGGCAGTGCCAGGAGTCCGCTCGGCCTGGAGAGCTCCTGCACAGTCTCGGAAATAGCTTGAACCGGGCCGCCCCGGGCCCCTGCCTGCGAACGGAGCCAGTCACTGGCGTAAACCTCTTTTCTGCCCGCAAGGTTGCAGAGCAGGGGCTGCTTCCTGTAGGCGTTGAGCTTCGTAAGAGCTGGAAGCCCCGAGGCCGGCGCTGGCGCCCCCAGCTGGCGGCCCCCCCCAGCGTCCACGCACACCCACGCACACCCACGCACACCCACGCACACCCACGCACACCCACGCACAGGACTCGCAGGCAAAAGCCAGCGCCCTTACTGCTCCGATTCCCTCCTCCTCCCTCCCACGGCCCCGCCCCACTGTTAGGTCAGAAGGTGGGTCCGAGCCACAGACGCCCACAGCGCCGCCCCGAAGCCGCACGGAGGCTTCAGCGGTCTCGGAGTCCCAGGCGCCAGGTTCCCACTTCCGAGAATTCTGCCACTGAGGTGTGGCCTGAGCGTAGAGCGTGGACATAACCCCCCCGCAGTGTGCGAAAAAAACAAGAGGCCTGTTGTCCACGCACCCCAGAGCCACGGGCCACGGGACGCCGGGCCACCGGTGGACGCGAAACGCGTGGAGACCAGTGTGGGAGAGAGAGAACGCGCGGCCCAGCCCCTGGAAGCTGTGACCCCAGAAGTCGCCGGGCACTGGACGTGCTGCTTCATCAGAAAGGCCAGCAGGACAGGGCGCAGCCAGACGGCCACCAGCTTCAGGGCCGCTGTGGAGGAGGCGGCCGGGCTCTGGCTCCCGGCTACGCGAGGCGCTGGGGAGACGCCTGAACGCCGCGTTGGGGGCCTGTCGGATTGATGGATGCGATGTTCGCGGACCTTTTCACATTAAGCAAGAAACGCAAAGGCCTCCACACAGTGCCGGACACAGACCGATGAGCTCCAGTCGCCCCGTGGCCGCCACGGCTGACCCGCAGCCACATGACTCATCCAGAGCCTCTGGCGAGTTGATAAATGAGCCTGGCGATGGGCTGGAGCAAGATGTCCTCGATGAAGCCCTCAAGCAGGCCGCGGCGCTAAAACCTACCGACCGGGACCTGGACGGAGAAAAGCGCCTCCTGCCTGGCTTACAGCCCAGGTCAGCGACTGCGAGCCGAGAATTTCAGGGTCGTCTCCGTAAAGACGTCTGAAGCCCAAAGAGGCGAGACAAGTAGTTCCCGGGGCCT